AAAGACGTGACATCAAAGGCCACTTTTTTCGATGGAGTGACACGACGTCGGAATCAAGGGGTACTTGAGCAGGTGCCTCCAAATGTAAACATTTCAAAGTCTACAAAAATAAATATTTTAACAATTTAAAAAACACTCTTAGATGAATTATTTTACTCTGTCTTTCTTTGAATTTTGAACGCCAGTAATAAGTATATACACTATCGGCCTTTGTTCAAACTCTAAGAACTGCCACGATCGTGCTGACTCATTAGATTTATCTGCAATCATGTCCCAATATTCATCATTGGCCGAAACATGAACAGTGTACCCACAGGTTCGCTTATAGCCTTCATTAAGCAGCATCCTATAAATTGTTATTATAATACTAATATCTTATCGCAAAAATTATTAAAGGTTGTATTTTAGACATAAATAGTATAATAATTTAATAATAGAAACCAAGTTATAAGTTCATGTTACGTAAACGATTACCTCATTGAACTTAGCACATACGGTTGGGAGAGTTGAACCTGTATCCTATTTGAGTCTGTTTCAAAATCTCCAAAAACTTCATTCAAATCCATAGAATATGAAGCAACATTGTATTTTGGAGCTAATAGATTAAAATCAGTTATTTAGACAAATCTATTTTAATAAGTATTTTTATATTATTTAAAGAAGTAGTTACTTTTATGTTTTCTTTACCCACTAATCCGTTTTTGATTTCCACCAAGTGCATGTCGACCGTATTGTACATGACTTTCAAAAAGTAAAAAATCTTATTTCTAGTGTTATTGGTGCCAACAATTCGAATGTATCGAACAAATCTTCGGTTAATCCACAAACGTTGAGTTGACCGACAATGATAATTTGAATGATCTATTACACGTAACCAACTGTTCTGATCCAGTGATACTTCAATAAAATAAGTGTAATACGAGTAAGACCTAAAGTATCAATTGGAACTATCAAATGAAGAGTTAAGTAATTTTTTTATAATTAAAAGTATCAAAACAGAAATAGCTTTTAATTTGTCATTTGAAAATAATTGGAATAGTTATTATAAGTCACACCAAACTAATTATTCGGTTTCTATCCATTGATACTTTAATGTAATAAGTGTAATTCCTAAAGTATCAAATAAGTTGAACAAGTGAATGGTCGTGATAAGTAAAAACATACTTTGATAGTTTTTCCTTTAATTTCATTTCAATATAGTTTATACTCGATGGTTGATCCAACATGATTATGGTACCGCCATCAATATAAGAAATCTCTCTTGGAGTATCTTTAGCAAAATTCACATTGGGTTCTAAAAAATAAAGTAGTTGATACTAACATAATTTGCTAAACAAATAATTGCATTAGGCATACCTAATCGTCCTCGATGATTAAATGTCTGTGTGAGGGAGTCTTTTATAACATCCAAAATGGCTGTATCCGAACGAACCAGCTCTGACCGCTTAACTTCAGACAGTTCTTCTTCATTCATAAGTTTGTATCTGACGGCAGATAAAATTTTGGTTTTATCATCGGGATCTAGGTGGTCTTGGTTCTTTTTGATCCAGCGACAAACCGCCCGGAATATATCTAATTCGTTAGCATAAGCCGTGTCACGACTGAGAATTAGTTGAAATGCTTCCTAAAAAAAAAATATCTGTCATAACTGCTTACCTAACCCGAGCAATACTGATGTTTTATCATGTAAATATTATTACGGGCGTCAAGGAGAGGGAATCTTCAGATTGCAATACGTCCAAAGCGTGGATGTCGATGAAATTGAGCGATTCGATTTCGAGATTTTTGATTTGATAAAAAAGTGCCACAGCAAACAACGAGCTTGCGTTGTGTACATTGATGTTCCTCCGCAAATACTCGGTCAGTGAAAATTGTAAGTTTGAAAATTGATATACATTCGAGAGAATTAATAATTCCAACACAACATTACTCTAAAAAATAAAAATAACATTTGTATTTCGATAATCGATTTCTGAATAATATTTTTTTTCAATTAAATACATAAAACACAATCAATTGACCTTAACGTTCCTTAAAAAATGCACAACCTTGAAAAAAGTACTTTTTTGACCTTTAAATAATGGCCATCTAAGTCTACTATAAGTTACCTCGAGATCACTTAAATTTATTCGACCAGAATAAATATACTTAAGAAGTACTTTAACTGAGGTTGCTGATCCTTCTTTTATTGGTACCTTCATTTCACGTGATTCTATATGTTCTCCATACAGTAACGCACTATAAAATATACAAAACATTAGCACAAAAATGCATTATATTTGCAACAACCAGTATGGACTACAAAAGGTTTGGTTTTACACTAAAACTCATTTTAAATTTACTTTGTTTCATTTAAGTTGGTCAGATTATTCTGATCAGTTATAAAATAAGTAATACGATCAGATTACACAGTCATTATAACTTTTAGTTAACAAGATACGGTCCATATTACTAATTTATTTTAAGAATGAAAACTAACTATTATATGTTTTTTAGTATAAAATTTACAAAACATTAAAAGTCTTAAGGCCCTTAATGCCACTGTGTTTTTTTTCAAAAACATTTAGGCTGGATAATTAGAAAATTGGTGATACCATTAAAAAAATATCCAAACTAGAAAAAAAATATACAAAATTGACAAATTTGTATATTTTATACTTATTAAGGTATAATTATTACTGATAGAATAATACGCTACATGATAAGATTTAATTACCTGAAATAATCACTGCATGAGGCTAACACAACACGATGGGCGTGCAATTTTTCATTATCTACAACTAAAACAACATCCGAAAACCTAAAATAAATATCAAAATATATTATTAATATACTTATAAATACTAAAAAATTTAATATTACATTCTGATAAAGTATATGCATCTGTAATCCTTATTGAAGATAGTGTTTCAACGATAGCTGTTTAAGGTAATCAATAATGTGGTTAATAGTCATAATTTGTACCTAGCTAGTGAGTATATAAAACTGTCCATCTTGCTTAATTTTTTTAATAATCCGCCACTAAAAATATTTAATTCATTTGATGAGGATATCACTAAAGTCAAATTGAAGGAGGTGATAGTTCTATTCGCTGCACACTTTATTACAAAATATTAGATTGGTATGCCAAGTATAGATTTAAAAAAAATAAAAACGTCACTCCATAGATAAAAGTTTTCTCTATACATTGTGGGAATCTGGTAAATCTACCTATTAAGGGAGACGGAGTCTAGTTTTCATACAGCCCAATGTTCGATTTTAGTTTTTAGAATATTATGTATGTATTCGTTGACAAATTTCCTAGGTTTCTTAGGAAGGCGATTTTTAATTTCATCTATCGAAGATCTCCAAAATTAATTTTTGTTATTTTTGAAAGATCAGTAGTAATTCCCGAATTACATTTAAATTTATTTTAGGCATACCAAATTTTAAATTAAAAATTTGTTTTTTAAGAAACCTAGACTATTTATCAACAAATCCAAACAAACTTAAAAATTAGTTGTAAATATTTAATTTTTCTAATAATTAAAAACCACCAGTCCTTTTCATCTAATTGAATTTCTATATATATATATAGATTCAAATATATATATATCAATTATAGTAATATAACACATACCTTTCGTTAAGATACAGATTGCTAATGTTGCCGAACAATAGGTGAGCGTGATCGATTTGCTCATAACCAGCCGGATTGGACGAAGATGATGCATAATTGGTAGGATCAGAAAATGCTAAAAAATCAAAATGATTTTTCAAACAAATTCGTATAGTTTATTTACGAAATGAATTAGCATCCAGCTATTTGATTTATTATTTGTTTTTAAGATTGTGTATTTTAGTTTTTTAAATAAATTAATAATGATAGTTTTATTGCTCGGTGCAGTATTGTTTTATAATTGTAATAAATTAAATAATTTTTACGCTCAATATAAGGATAGAGCCTGAAAACATTCCGATAAACTTGTTGAAAAATATCTAATTAACTTCCACAAGTTTTTTTGATATCTTAACTTAGACATTATAACTAGTCAGTAAGTTATAGGTTTGTGAAAGGATAAGTAAAAACTTATTGGGCTATCTTTTAATGAGCAAATAGCCAGTACCGTAGATTACTATAATTTCCATAATTGTTTTCAGAACTTATCACTTAAGACTCTACTATGCTTCTATTATAAGATAATTATTTACGTGTATGAAAAATATCACGTACCTGGGGTTGACCTTAAAACGATGAGCACAATAAAATAAATAAACACCATCGTGTTAACGTTTTAATAAGATTTCTTAATACTATATGAAACAATTATAAAATAATTCACCGTCCATAGGTATTGAAAACTAAAATATATTGTTTTACTTAAATAGTGCACTATTGTTTAGCATTGGTGATAGAGTTTTTATAAGAAGAAAAAGTGTACACAGCTGGTGTGCATTTTTTTGTGCGACGCATCGTGCAGTGCAGTGCAAATTTAATGCGAAGATACCTATTAAATAAAAAATATTCCAGGTTTTTGTTATAAGATTTTTCGTGTAACCCTATTGTTGTATATTAAATAAAAGTTTCGGTTTTAAAAAAGTCAACGACACGGAGGACAAAAACTAAGAGCTACGTTTGCTTTCTATAAGTAAAATTCATCGAGAAAAGAAAAAGTGTTAAGAAATGTGTTCTTTAGATGAAAGAATGAAATGAAGTTGCTATACTTTTGTTTTAAACATATTATGATACTTTATCTAATATTTTAATGAATTTTTTTTTAATACGACACTGTATAATGATTATTTATATGTATGTGTTTTCTTCTTCTCTATCGGTCATAGGCACCTCTAAAACAATTAACCACTTGCTCTTCAAAACAGGGTTAGTTTTTCCCTTAAAAGAAAGACATTGGTTCATTAATATGGCATATTAATATATAATAATTGGTATATTAATATCAAATCATAATATTTTAGAATTTTTTTTACTTCCTGTATTTTAGAATTTTAGCGCTGTGTAATTATATCACAAACAAGGTTTGTATATTGAAATAAGTATTAAAAAAATGACAGTAACCAGTAATAAAATATGTAAAAAAAACCCTATTTGTTCCATATAGAAGTCATCCTTCGGACGAACCGTGGTTTTTACTACGACCCAAAAGCCGTGATATGAACAGCCGCCGTTTTGGTTGGAGAGGCGCGACGTTGGAATCTAGCGATACTTGAGCAGGTGCCTCCAAATGTACACATTTAAAGTACTACAAAAAAAAATGTTTTACAATTTAAATAACAACATTAGATTAATTACATTAATAAATTACTATCTCATTCTTTATTGAACAGCGAACGCCAGTAATTCGTATGTATACTATTATCCTGGGATCAAATTTCAACAACTGCCACGATCGTGCCGACTCGTTAGATTTATCTACAATCATGTACCAGTCTTTATAATCGACCGAAGTTTCAACAGTGTAACCGTAGGAGGTTCGGCTATCGCAATCCCAAAGCAGCAGCCTAAAAGTAATGAAAGAAGTATTATAATCCTTATCTTTATGCCAGGGTTAACCGAAAATTAATTTTTAAATATATAAAAAGCTGTATTCAATGCACAAATAATATAATTATCAAATACCAGAAACAATAGAAAAAGTTAAATGTTATGTCAACGGTTACCTCATTGAACTAAGCACATACGGCTGGGAGAGTTGAACCTCTAAAAACTCCTTTTCTAGGATATGATACATAAATCCCCTATTCTTATCGTAATTTTTATAGTCACCATCCAAAAGAATGTTTTTTTGGACTCTCAAATTCCATGACTTTCCTTCAATTACAGTTGCACTCATAGATGCTAAAGCAACATTGTACTTTGGAGCTAATTGAATTAAAATTAGTCAAGTAGACAAATATGTTTTTTTTATATTGCTTAAGGAATAAGTATGTGTTGTCCTTACCCACTAATCCGTTTTTGATTTCCACCAAGTGCATTTTGTCTGTATTGTACATGACTTTCAAAATGTCAAAAGTCTTATTTATAGTATTGTTGGTGCCAATAATTCGAATGTATCGAACAAATCTTCGGTTAATCCACAAACGTTGAACTAACCGACAATTGTAATTTGAATGATTTATTACACGTAACCAACTGTTCTGATCCATTGATACTTCAATAAAATAAGTGTAATACAAGTAAGACCTAAAGTATCAGTTGGAACAAACAAATTAATAGTTAAGTATTTTTTTTATAATTAAAAGTGTCAAAACAGAAATAGCTTTAAATTTGTCATGTGAAAATAATTTGAATAATGATTATAAGTCATACCAAACTAATTATTCAGTAGATAAACAATGTTGTGGATAACAATTTGATATTTTATTATAAGTGTAAATTAAATTCTTTTTTAACCAAAATTATTAACTATGTATGATATTATTCTAAAATCTTTAATTAGAAATATAGATAAGTAAATACACACCCTAAAACTTCATCACGTAACATAATTTCAATATAGTTAATATTCGATGGATGATGCAACATGATCATGGTACCACCGTTAATTTTAGAAGGTTTAATTCCTTGTGCAAAATTCACATTGGGTTCTAAAGAATAAAGTAGTTGATACTGTAAAATTTACTTAACATATATACATTAAGCATAGTGCATACCTAATTTCCCTCGATAGTTACCAAGTGCACTTATGAGGGACTCTTTTCTCGATTTTATGACATTCAAAATAATTGTATCCGAACAAACCAGCTCTGATCGCCTAACTTCAGACAGTTCTTCTTCATCCATAAGCTGATATCTGACGGCAGATAAAATGTTGGTTTTATCATCAGGTTGCAGTTGGTCTTGGTTCTTTTTAATCCAGCGACAAACCGCATGGAATATATCTAATTCATTAGCATAAGCCGTGTCACGACTGAGAATTAGTTGAAATGCTTCCTAAAAATAAAAATGTCTGTCAAAACTGGTTACCTAACCCGAGCAATACTGATTTTTTTATCATGCAAATATCATTACGGTCGTCAAAGAGAGAGAATCTTCAGATTGCAATACATCCAATACGTAGAAGTCGATAAAATTGAGTGAACCGATTTCTAGTTCTTTGATTTGATAGTAAAGTGCCACAGCCAATAACGTACTTACATTGTGTACATCGGTGTTACTCAGCAAATACTCGGTCAGTGAAAATTGTAAGTTTGAAAATTGATATACATTCGAAAGAATTAATAATTCCAAAACAACATTACTCTAAAAAATAAAAATAACATTTGTATTTCGATAATCGTTTTCTGAATAATATTTTTTTTCAATTAAATACATAAAACACAATCAATCGACCGAACGTTCCTTAAAAAACGCACAACTTTGAAATAAGTACTTTTTTGACCTTTAAATAATGGCCATCTAAGTCTACTATAAGTTACCTCAAGATCACTTAAATTTATTCGACCAGAATAAATGTACTTAAGAAGTACTTTAACTGAGGTTGCTGATCCTTCTTTTATTGGTACCTTCGTTTCACGTGATTCTATATGTTCTCCAAACAGTAACTTACTAAAAATATATACTTAAAAATTAAATTGTTAAGATGTTATTGTTCATAATATATTAAATTTTCATTAAGCAAGTAAACGAACAATTAAACATTTTTGTTTCGATGCCACTGATGAGAATGTATTGTATTTACAATGATGTGTTTTTATTTTTTTAAATATTTTTATTTTATACTTCTGTGTATACCAACGATATATATTAGGCTACTTAACCGATTTTTTCATGTAGCCGCTATTAAGATCAGATATATATATATATATATATATATATCAGAAAATCATAGTGGTTGTACGGACCGTATTGCTATAAAATAATATCCATGGTTAAATGTTTTTCCGGAGAGCATAATAAATAAATAAGGTTTTTATTCTTTTCTTTTTTTTATAACATTTACAAAACATTGAAAAATCCTAAGGCACCTAATGCTGCTATGTTTTTTTTTTAGGCTAGTTGATGAGGAAATTGGTGATACCGTTAAAAAAGAGCAAACAAATTATATAAATAAATATCAAAGTTGAACAACGTTTTTCGATAAATTTGAATAATGCTTATTAAGGTATCATTATAAATAAGGAAAGAATTCCATGAATATCATTAAGAATAAACTACCTGAAGTATTCACTGCGTGAGGCTAACACAACACGATGGGCGTCGAACTCTTCATTATCTACAACTACATAAACATCCGAAAACCTAAAATAAATATTAAATCAAATTATAATTATAAACGAAAGTACTAAAAATGAATAATAATTTATGTATAGTTTAAGATAAAATAATACAAAGCAATTGAAAAGTAAGTTTAGTGTTTCTTTGTTGAAACTATTGTTTCAGCGATAGCTGTTTAAGCATTATCAATTATTTTGATGTCATAATTTGTATCTATTTGTAAGTGAATTCTTCCTTGAAATTCCATAATTTTATTGGTTAACCGTCACTAAAAATATTCAATTAACTTGATACGGATAATACTAAAGTCAGGTTGAAGGCTGTGATAGTTCTTTATTCCAAAAAAATATCACGGTGAAAGGACATAAACTATTTACTCGCTTGCAGTCAGCAGACAAAGCATCAGTGTTGCATAGCTGATTTGTAAAATAAATATTGTGTCGTTTAAATTTGACAAGCTTCGAGAGAGCCTAATTAAAGATGCCTTTATAATTGGTCTTTATCATAAATAGCTAAAAAATTAACCAAAGCCTATTATTAGGGGAAGATAAATTAACAATAGAAAATGCATAGGAAATTTGTTTGTCAGCGAAGTTATTTAAGCAACGTACAGAGGGAATCAATCAAAGTGAAAATGTTTTAGATGTTCAGTCAAGGATAGAGTCAATTCAAGAAGAAGTTCATAATATATTCCATTAGCATTCAGCTCAATGGAGTCAAAATAGAGAGACATCCTACACACGGTACCAAAGCAGTTATAACAGAGGTACTAAGTTAGATTCTAATAATGTCTATATTTCTAATCCTACAATCTGTGAATCAAAATTTAACTATCTTATTTTATGAGTACAATGTTAAAATACCTAATTGTAAACGTTTTAAGTTAAAAGCTGTAAGATCATGCATGGTTAATGAAATACGTGGGTCCTCAGAAAGTTATTTTATTGGTTCTATTAATAATAGTGGTAAGACTGTTCTGACTTGGTTGGTTGAATTATATACAACCGGTATTGTTATGGGGTGTCAGCTGGACGCTGGTGCCCAGGTTAACATACCATCAAAACAAATTTTTTTAAAACTAAAAAAAAAATCTATTTTAAACTGTTTTATAAAGTAGATTTTGACCGCGCTACAATATTAGGTCTACCTACTTGTAATATATTTGATTTTCCTAAAATAATTAATTGTGTTAAGGATACCTACTGATAAACACATTATAAATAAATATAATGATAATTTTGAAGGCCTATGCATCCTTCCATAAAATGTCTTATGATCATAATGTCCACGACATAATTGACGCGCTAGGAAAAATATCATTCTATTTATATGATCAACTAATTGAAGAACTAAAAAAATATGTGTAAATCTAAAGTAACAAAAAGGTTACGACACTTATGGAATGAGTTAATTCAATTGTCCTTGTAATTAAGAAAAAACATACCTTTTGCTTAGATACAGACTGCTAATGTCGTTAAACAAGAAGTGGGTGTGATCGATTTGCTCGTCACCGGCTGGATTGAACGATGTCGATGGACACCCGGTAGGATTAGAAAATGCTAAAAAATAAAACTGATATTGCATACGAATTTGCATAGTCTATTTACGGTATGAACTTGCGTCGAGCCATCTGGTTTAACATTTTTTTTTTTTAACAGTGTATTTTAGTTTTTTGCAAATGAAATAATAATAATAATTGTATTGCACGAGTGAAGTATGGTCTAATAATAATTGTAAAATCGTTTAACAGTTTTTTTAATGTTTAATATAAATTTAAGAACAGAGCCTGAACTAACTTTTCGTTCAATTTGTTAAAAATGTCAAATTATCCGCCACTAAAGCATTGTAGAGCCCATCTTAGACACAATAACTAGTCAGTAAGAAGGTTTGCGAAAGGATGAGTAAAAACTTATTGGGCCATCTTTTATTGAGCGAATACCATAGATTCAGAACTTACCGCTTAAGAATATACGCTTAAAGAACTTATTGCTTAGGATTATAAACTTTTATTAAAATAACACAACATTTATGTAGTCTTCTATGAAATATATTACATACCTGGAGTTGATCTTAAAACGATAAAAGAAATACAAATAATAAGCATCATCGTGTTCAATATGATTTAATAACACTATACAAATCACTAAACACTACAAAACAATAAACCGTACAAAGGTGACAAAGTAAACTGACTGATATATTTTGTTCTATTGAAAATGGTGCGCTATTTTTTTTGCATACTCGACAGAGTTTGTGAACAAATAATTGAGTACACAACTAGTGTACGTTTTTTGTGCGAACATTACACTTCTAGCATTATGATACGGTTTTTTTTTTGTACAATCCTATTGCCAGATACTAAACGGGAAATTCGGTTTTTAGAAAGTCGACGGAGGCCAAAAAAGGGGACCTATGTGTTTTTTCTTTAAGAGAAAAAAAAAATATATAAATATATAAGACACATTCAAGTCAAAAACATATTTACCTATTGAATAGAATTTCGGTTTTCAGAAATTCAACGAAATGGAGAATACGAATACTAATTTGTTAGGGATTATGGAGATTGATAGATTTTATTATTAAATCTTATTATGTTATTTTATTTGAATTAGTATATTTTAGAATTTACGTGTTGTGTAATTATACCAAAAAACGTTATAATTGTCGAAACCGTTCAGTTTTAAATTTTCAATTATTCACGTTTTGTGCTAATTGAGCCCGACTGGATTTGGGGATTTTGATGTAATTATTGCGAAAATTGTGTTTTTTAACGTCAATAAAGTAAATATTATCTTACATTTGATTAAATTAAATTTATTCTTATGTATATATTATCTACGACAGTAATTTGATTTATTATTTAGTTTATTTAAACTAAGTACATAAGTATTACACTGTTATAAAATGTGCCTAAAAATAAAATTCATGTTCGTTAGCTATATCATGAATTTAGATTTGTATTATTTAATTATGAGTAAAGACATTGTTTATTGTTATCTCCTTCTAAAATAAATTCAACATTGACAAGTTTAAATGGACCTCCTTATCCAAATGTACCTTGAGTTAAAGTTAAGTCAATTATTACTGCGATACTAAAAATTATATATTTATCTAAATATATGCCCATTCAGGTTTTTTATTTAAATATATTAAGTTAGGATTAACGTTCACTAGTCAAATAAAATGTTCGGAGAGTATGAAAAGGGAATTTCATTGATCTTCACGTAAAAACACTTAGTAGGAACATTTAACAATTCTTTTTTATATAATAGCATGGTCAATAAGAGACGTTTACAGGTATTATTTTTTTTTATGATTTTATAATTATAGAAGCATTTATAAGAACGATCCATACATATTTAAATTTATGTGACGCCTAACATTACATAAGCACGGTATGGTATTCGTTCGAAAATCAATTTAAATGTCTTCTAACGGGATGTGGTAATAATCAAGATCCAACAACTTATATGGGTTGGGAAAAACATTTTTGTTTAATAGTAGACATACGCGAACAAATATTGTTGTTAATAAGATAATACGAGTATATAGCTATTAGTCATAAGTGAACATTAATTTGAATGTTATATATATAAAGCTAAAAAAATGTGTACTAACATATAATATGCAAAAAAAAATCCCCATTAGATCCTTATATGTGTAGGCCTTCGGGCGAATGGTGGCGCTATTAAAGACTTATAAGGCGTAATATCGACCGCGACCGTTTTGGGGCGGCGTTGGAATCTTGAGCAGGTGTTTCCAAAAGTACAGATTGAAAAAGCTACCAAAAAAAAGTTTTGAACAGTTTAAAAAAAACCTCTTAGATTAATTATATTACTTCGTCTTTTTTTGAAGTGCGAACGGCAGTAAGACGTATATACACTATCGGTGTGGAATCAAATTTCAACCTCTGCCACGATCTTGTTGACTTCTTAGATTTATCTACAATCATTTTCCAATCTTCATTATTGCCCGAAACATGAATAGTGTAACCACAGGTTCTGCTTTCGCCGTCATTAAGCAGAATCAATAAATAATTATAACACTAATACAATTCTGATCTTATCGCCAGAGTTAAGCAAAAATTATTTTCAAAAAAAAAATAAAAAGTTGTATTTCAGGCATAAATCATTTAAACAGTTAAACAATAGAAGCCTAAGTAAAAGTTAAATGTTATATAAAAGATTACCTCATTGAACTAAGCACATACGGTTGGGCAGAAAATTATTCTGCTGTAGCAAATTTTTAGCGAAGGTACCTATTAAATCTATACATTTTCTAGGTTTTGGTTATGAAATATTTTTCGTACTCTTTTTATATGTATTTTTGGTTTACAGAAAGTTAACGAAACGAAGGCCAAAAAAGGCGAAATGTATTTTTTTTCTTTAAGCGAAATATATATTCATAAAACTTGCTCGTTGGGGGAAGATATGAAATTAAGTTACTATACTTTTGTTTAAAACATATTATAATACTTTACATAACATTATAATGATTTTTTTTTTCTGTTGATATCTTATCAAAACTTCTCTGAATACTAGAATAGTTTTCTATTTAACTGATAGATCATTAGGTTTTTCTAAAAATAAATTAGTACTCTGAGGGAGCGAAATATCACCCTGATCACCTACTGTAAATACGACACTAAATTATATAATGATTTATAATGATTAGTGTAAACAAGTATCTTAAACTAAACATTAATCATAAGGGCAGAAAATAGGATGAAGCATTATTAAGAAAACGTAGCATTCGGTGTAAAGGATGGTTAACAACCGTAAGAGGTTGAATAAGGAGGACTGTAAAATAGAGTATGGTTTCTAGTACTATAAAAAGGAACACATTTTCTTATATCAAATAAAATATCAGGAACATTCAAGGAACCATTGAGAACAGATGAGATGGATTTAAAGTCAGCCTCTGTACGACAGGTTGAGAGTAAGGGTATGTTTAAGTTTACACGAATGAGTGAATAGTGTTGAAGTGGGTGTGCTATTTTTAGTAAATAAGCGACATAGGAGAGAAATCTATTTTGAACATGTTCTAATCTAATCAGATATTTTTCTAGGTATGGATGCCAAATAATTGCACTATATTCTAGAATAGACCGAACTAAGGTAAAATAAAGAATACGAAGGCGGTTTGCAGACTTAAACATCGATTTATTGCGTTTTATAAAACTCATCACTTTGAGTGCTTTACTGACGGTAGTATTGATATGATAGTCAATGTTCAAAGACGGTGTATAATATATACCTCTAAGATCCCTCTAAACAAGAAAACTCGCTGGAGAGGAATATCATTAAGAAAATAAGAGTAGGAGATGGGATTACGTTGCCTGGTGAAAGTCATAATATGGCATTTGTGTATATTAAGCCCAAGTCCAAAGTGTTCGACCCGAAAATAAAACATGTTAAGCTCAGATTAAAGCGTGAGACAGCTTTCCTAGTCGTCAATTTTTAAATATATTTTTATATCATTGACAAAAAGTAAGAATTTAACCTTACTTATCACTTTGTTTATAGAATGGACAATTAAAATGAAAAGTAGAAGGCTGACATGACCACCCTGCGAGACACCTGGTGATACATTAGTCATGGTAGATACGGAATTGTTTAACTTGACGTATTATTTTCTGACCGTTTGGTAAAAGGTTAGCCAAGAAAGCAGCTGTTCAACCACGCCTAGTGCTTAGAGTTCTCTTATTAGGAGACCATGATGAACCGTATCAAAGGCTTTTTTTAAAATCAGTTATAATCACATCGACCTGGCTACTGCGTTTTATAACATCAGTCAAGTAAGATGCGAATACAACACTGCTAGTAAAAATTGATTTTCCTGGTCTAAAACCATGTTGTTCCTCGACAACTATATGATTCAAGCTTCTTTTAATGTTTGAATAAACTAGAGATTCAAAGAGTTTAGGAATATGGGGGATGATTGATATTGGCCTATAATTTTTAACATAAGATGATTCACCAGATTTATGGACAGGTGTTACAGAACCAATTTTCCAAACAGAAGGGAAAACGCTTTCTGTTAAGAAAGCGTTGTTCTGAAAGTTTATTATAATTGTATATTTATAGTAGAATTGACAGTCTATAATAAAATGAATTCAATTTTTAATCACAAACACTTTTTTACTCCAAACATTGTAACATGTTCCCATTTATAACATTCAGCCCAGACCTTAATGCGAGGTATAATATTCACCCGAAAACCAAACAAAAAATCTGCTAACAGAACGCGTAACCAACTATTTTCAAATGTTGTCACTACTGGAAAGAGGTAATTGATTAGGGAATTCCGTAATTATTAAGATTTTCATCAGCCAATTGACAACGTCTTGAGTGGGTTGGGATAAATAAAACGTATAAATACAGACAAACGTGATTCTATTTTGTTATGTTTTAAAAATAATATATTATAATCTATAGTCATGTTTGAACATTAAAATTAACGTTTAAAAATATACTTATTAAGCATTAATAATGACAGTCCTCTAAAATAATAATATGCAAAAGACCCTATTGGTTCCACGTAGATGTCAGCCTTTATGCGAACGGTGGCAATAGTAACCGATGATCGAAGAACCGTGATATCGACCATCGCTGTTTTGGTTTGAGAAATCTGATTGGAGCAGGTGCCTCCAAATGTACACATTTAAAATACTACGAAAAAAAAATTTGTTAACAATTTAATAATACTATTAGATTAATTATATTACTATCTCATTCTTCAATGAACAGTTAACGCCAGTAATTCGTATATACACAACCAGCATGGGTTCAAATTTCAACAACTGCCACGATCGAGCCGGCTCATTAGATTTATCTGCAACCATGTCCCATTCTCTGTTATTGACCGAAACTTCAACAGTGTAACCGTAGGATTGCCCATGGAAACTTGAAAGCAGCATTCTATAAATAATGACAATAGCAATATAATCTTAGTCTTATTACCAGAATTAGGCTAATATAATTTTTTAAATATCGAAAAGTTGTATTTCAGGCACAATTAATATAAATATTAAATTATAGAAACCATAGTAATTAAGTTGAATGTCATGTAAGTTATTACCTCATTGAACTAAGCATATACGGTTGGGCAAGTTGGACCTTTATACACTCCCTTTTCAGGTAATGATATGAAAAATTTCGAAGCTTTTCGTAGT